TTTACTTTAGGTGCTGTCCATATAACAAAGAGTGAAAATTTTAGGGGGTTCTGAATACTTTCCGTACCCACTGTATATAAACAAACCAATAAAATAAATTAAAAGAAAAAATATAAAACAAGCACAATAATATAAACTAATAAATACTAGCTGTAAAATATTCCAGTCTGCAGCCAGGTTCAGATTTGAAGTTTGTTTGCACCTCAGAACCACAGTACCATCACAGTGATAAGAAAATGATAGAAACGATGGGACAGCAGCCAGATTAAACAGAGGTTTTTAGTCTTTTCAGCTCCTCTCAGATGCTCTGACTGCTCAAACACAGCTAGAAGAAGAACCAGACCATCTGAGGATCCTCCTGGTTCAGTCACTTGGGTCTGACTGTGTTCACACTGAGTGCATACTGGTGATTGACAAAGGAATCATCAGTGGTGCTCTGATACTGTGGTTCATGGCAACAGGTAAATCAAGGACAGAGCCACCATTAGAATCTTGTGGAGCTTGATTAGGGCTAGTTGTTTAATGTGTGACAGTAATGCACATTTATTTTTTCAAAACTGCAGAAACTCACATGAGCGTTACAGTTTTCTGGAACAGAAACTCAGAGTTCAACTTCAGCTGAGGCTGATCTAACCCAGGCTTCTCTCTCCGTCTGGATGACTCCCAGGAGCTGCGGGACAGGAACGATGAGCTGAGCTCAGAGCTGGAGCTGCTGAAGAGTCAGAGGAGCCACAGGAAGTCCAGAGCTCCCGCCGGAGTTGACGGCGCCACGCTGAGCTGGACCCAACAGGGCTCGGAAAGGGCCGAGTCTGACTCTGGTAACACAACAGAGTCCCCGAGAGGGGAAAACAGAGTATTGTTCCATTGTTGTTCAACAGCCAGCAAAATGTTTCACAGTGATTTTATTAGAGACAAAAAGGATTTTAAAAAAGGCTGGTCAGTTAGAGGTGGTCAGAACTAAGTCTCAGACTGCAACTGGTCAGGCTTTAACTAATATTAACAACCAAAGCTTTTATACACACGTCCTCTCTTACAGATGATTTTCAAGGAAACAACCGGATGTAACAAACGAGTCTGAGCAGAATGAACAGACTTACCCTTAGTATTTGTGAAGCATCTGGTCCTAACTGTGGAAATGAGAGTGCAGTAATGTGTTTCTGACAGAAGGTGGAGCCACTGCTTCACAGTGCAGAGAGCTGATTGGCTGCTTGTGTGGATGTAATGCCACCTGATGAGCCACTTCTAATCACAAGCTACATCAGAGTGATGTGGAAGGTGACCCTTTTTGTATTGGTATTAGTCATAGGGCTGTAACTAATGGCTTAAGCTGATGATTTTTGGGGGGGCAGTTGGTTGTTTGGGCACACAGTCCAAAGCCCAGAGAGGTTTTATGAATGACCAGAGGAGCACGGCTCATCCTCAGGGAAGAAGCTCAAACTGAATATTACTGAACAGCCGACTGCTTCTGTGCTGAGGGCGTGATGGTCTGAGCTCTAATTAGACTGTTCCTTGAGTTGCCCAGGTTCTTAAAATAAAATAGATTCTTGGGGAGGTGAAGTCTGTTTTCCCTTGCCTTAACCTGACCCTAACTTTCACTTTAATCCTGACCCCAGCGTGACCCTGACCCAGGGGAGGTTGCTGCAGTTTCACAGAGCGCCATTACCAGGAGGTGGCGATAACTTGGAGCAAAAACCTGCAGTCAAACAGGAGTTGAGGACCTGCTGAGCTAGTCTGACCTGCTCAGGAAGATGCATGGACACACCCACCACACGCACACACATTTGTATAGCTATCTTTGTGAGGACCCTCTTTGCATTAATGCATCCCCCAGCTGCTAAGCCCGACTTTAACCATCACTACTAAATGTCTGACACTCACCCTGGTGGTAATCTGAACTCTCAAACAGCCCTTTAAAGGTATGAGGACCAGACCGCATGTCTGAAGTAGGTCCTCACAATAGCCATACAAGTACACACAAAGAGGCACACACTCGCACACAGACACACACTTCCTTCCAGGTGTCCGTGTGAATCTGCAGGTTTCTGTCTCAGTGCTGTTGTGGTTGTCATAATGTCTCTCAGTGAGTCTCGGCCACACTGTCTGTCAGGTCAGGTTTTAGTGAACATCTTAGTTCTATTAGTATTATTATGATGATTATTTCTGGCTCATTTGACCTGAACCAAAGTCTTTGTTTTATGTCCTTGCCCCAGGAGCGGTCTGACGTTTCACAGTGTTTGTCTTTTTTGTCTCTCTTCAGACAACTCGGATATGAAGCGCAGCTCGTCTCCTGCAGTCAGGAAGAAACTGCAGCCGGCCCATAAAACCGGTGAGAAACAAGGTATCACCACATCTACACACACAACTGAGACCAAAGCTACCGACTATCCAACAAAAGTTGCCAGAGCCTGCTCTAAGAGTTGCTGGGTGGTGTCACATGCTAATAATGACATCAAAGTGTAACTACTGTATTTACATGTATCTAAAATAAAAAAAGTAAGACTGAAAAAACCGAAGTCACACTTTAATGAGTGTTATCATTAGGGTTTCATTATTTTTCTAGCTGCTGTTATCACATCAACATGCTGCTAAATCCTCCTCTAATGTCAGAATCCTTTTATGTGGACTGACTGTTTACACACTGGAGTATCAGCACCAGACAGGATCCAAACACTGGAGTGAACTCACACCAGTAAACTGTGTATTTAGAGAAAGAAGAAGCACTTTACCTGGACAATTAATGGGGATCAGTGTTTGGTTGTTTAGGCACAGTGATAGTGAGTCCATTCTTCTTTCTGGCTGCTGATTGGTCGACTGAGTGTGCTGCGTCCAGGAGCCACATGAGAGCACTTTCACTGAGACATACAGTATTAATGACTTTCCTCAAGGAGCACAGCTAAAGTCTCTCCCAAAAAGCTGCTGGTTTTGTTGCTTGTCACTGTTTGAAAAACTCCCTACGGGAGCGAGAAACCGGCTGAGACTCCTGGCTGGGCAAACATCGGCTCAAGCAGATGGACCTTTCCATCCAGACACCCTCTGACAGAACTCTTATTCTGAAATGTGTGTGTGATGTGCTTCTTGCTGAAGCTGCTGTTTCCTCTCTTTCTCTCAGCTCCGTCTTCACCGGACAGAGTCTCTGGCCCTGCAGTCAGTATTCAGACTGAGCTGGCTCTGGAGCAGCTGAAACAGAAACATGAGCAGGAGCTGCAGCAGCTGCACATCCAGCTCGAGACACAGGTACACACTCTGATTAGGGTACTACACTCAGCATTATTGTGACTGCACACATGGCGGTCAACATGGAAGCAGATGTAAAAGTGCATATAGAGAAATATTAAGACAAACGAATGTAACAGCAGTGGGGTAGTGGGAGAAGTGTACATGCATATACAGTAACAAAACCATATACAATGGTGATGATGATAGATTCTGAACATTAGATTCATTATATTAGTTTTGTTTATAAAGGTTATAATTTCAACATGTCACAGTGCAGTGTGATCTCTTTTAAATTCAGACACTTGAGTCCTGGCATTGAAATATAACTGTAGGTACTGAGTCGGGTCACAAACGCTGTACTGAAGGCAGAGGCAGTGATTTTAAAGCACATTCTAATTTTGACATGTCAGTTTTTCTTTATCCATTGTTTTGTTTTTAGTATTTTGTTTGTGTTTTCTCTTCCTGTGACTTTTGTAAACAGGGCATTGCTGTAAATGAACATATATGCTCAGTCAGTCTACCCTGTATAAATAAATACATAAAAAAATAATTCATTTGTCCACTTTTAGGCACACTGAAAATGCACATCACAAAACAACAGCAGATCAGTAAAGACAATTAACATGACGTCTCTCAGGTGAACTACTACGAGAGGAATCTGGAGCTGATGAGACAGAGCATGGAGGTCGAGCGTAAAGACATCTCTCAGGCCTTCAAGGTAAAAACAGGAAAACAGTTTTTACATCTTTACGTCTCAGACAACAAGAGGCCACAATCAGCAGTATGAATATGATGTTGATGTAAACTGGCACTTTGTAACATTGGACACGTGTCCATGTCAGTAGCTGTGCACTCTGTACAAAAACACACATTGATGTCAGAAATATAAGATGTTGTGAAGTGTTTGTCATATTTTGTTGTTTCCTGTCATGTAACTATTTTGGTTCTTGTTAGATAATCGAGACTCTTGTTATAAATGCTGTACTTCCAGTACTTTGATGTATTATTGTCTTTGTTCACTTTCTGCGATATATTTTGTCACTGCCCAAAGTCTTTACCCACACACATGGATAAATCAAATACTGATGGTGCAGACTTTCATCTTTAAACATTTTAAAAGGACCTAAAGAGCTTGAGGCTGTCGAGCATTATGGCTTTTTGAATACGTTCATAATCATCTGTCCTCCTGCAGAGAATACATCCAGCAGCGAAGACTGAAGGGACAGTTTGAGTCTTCTAATGAGTCCGGTTCTTTGTTCGGAGCAGTCATGAAGCCAGATGTGCTTCAAGCCTTGATTACAGGCTAAACTGTTCTGTTTTTAACATTTGAAGCTTTTTTTCATCGTTGGTGTTCCGACTTGTCTGACGATGTCCTGTGTCTCAGCTGGAGATCAGTGAGCTGGAGGAGCAGAAGGCTCAGGTGGAGCAGCAGGTGAAGCAGCTGAAGGAGACTGTAGACAAACTGCAGACTCAGATCCAACATGGAGGAGGAGGAGGGTGGAGCAACGAGCAGGAGCGCAGGTGAGGGAGTGGAGGAAGGCTGTTACTACAATGTCTTCCTGTTCCTCTGCTTCTTTAATAGGCCCATCTTCACCGAGAAACCAGAGATTACAGTCAGAGTTTTGTCCCTGTCGAGTTTTGGAGTGGCTGAAATAGTTTTTAAGTTTAATAGTTTTTAACTGACAGTTTTTATCTCGTATCAGAGATAAACTGTAAAAGCTGCATGATGTTGTACATCTAGGCTGCATCTACATCCAAGGCCTAAACGCTCAGATCTGATTTCTGTGTGTTGCTGCTTCACATCCGTGTGTGTCAGTAACGTGTACCTGGGCTATGGTATGTTCCTTCCAGTTTGGCCTGATCAACAGGCAGCAATATGAGTTTGCTGTGTTACTTCTGTGGCTGTAATGCTTCTGATATTCTGTCCTGTCTAGTTTATTTTGACGTCTGGAGCATTGCTCTGTCTAAGCAGTGTTTCTGAACCTGTTTGTGTTCCCAGGGTGCAGCGGGAGCGGGCGGAGATGGAGCAGAACTTTGCCAGAGAGATTGGTAATCTGGTCCAGAGGCTGAGTGCTGAGAAGGACCAGCTGGAGGCCGAGCTGAAGCTGAAGATGGACCAGGAGGTGACGCTGGTCAGGTGGGTGGTGGCCTCACAGCTTGCAGGGCTGTGATAAATGCCTACAATAAACATTGTCATAAAAAATATGTACATAAATAGACAGGACCACAGTCACTGTCTGCTGTCAAAGGAGTCCAACAAGGTGTGATGCCAGTATGCACAGGGGTGGTGCTGTGCGCTGTTGTTTTTCAGGAACTCCTTCCAGTGGCTTAATGTGTGAAGGCATAACAGGCCATAATGTATAAAATGTTAAACCCAGTGGAAATAGCTGCTCTACTGTGTCATTTAGCAACTAGTCTAGGTGTTTGGCAGAGCGTCCGACTCCTGTTAAGTGTTAGAATCCTTTCTCATGGTTTGGTTTTATTGACAGTTACAGATGTTGAGGAGGTTTGTTATTTAACTGGAGTCATCTCAAAGCTCCACCCATCAGCATTTTTAATATAACAGTGAATTAGCAACGTGTGACCAGCTGCAAACATCTGAATGAACACTGTGTAAGCAGGGAGGAATCAGAGCAGCAGCTCTCTCAGATGAAGCTGCAGCACGCGGAGGGTCAACACCACCGCCTCCACCATCTCCATTGGGAGCATCAGCCCTGGCAGGAGCAGAGAGGATTCTTGGAGAACGGGATCATAGAGTCAAAGCAGGAGAAGCTCCAGTGTGAGGAGAGAGTTGGGGAGGAGCAGTGTAGAATCTGCAGCCAATTCTCCTCAGAGGAGGAGAAGCTCCATCAGCTGGAAAAGCAGGTCTCTAGTTTACAGGAGGTAGTGCAGAGCTCCAGCCTGCAGGTCAGCCAATCAGAGGCCAGCTTAGAGGAGTTCAGACAGCGCTGTGTTCAGTTAGAGGACGATCTAAAAGCTTCTCATAGGCAGTGCTCTGAGCTTGAAGCCAGGCTGGAGGAGAGCATCGCCTTCCTGGACTCTCACGAGGTGCTGAGTAAAGGCCTCGCTGCAGAGAAGAGCTCAGTGGAGGAGGAACTGCAGCTGGTAAAGGACAGGGAGCAGCAACTCCAGACTCAGATGGCACAGCTGAAAGAGGAGCTTGGAGTTCTCCAGGCTGCATCTGACAGCATACTGCAAGACCGGGAGGCTGTGACTGATAACTTGATCCAGCAGCAGGTTCAGCTCAGAGCCAGAGACCAGACTGTTACCACCCTGAGGTCTGAGCTGGAGAGTCTGCAGAAGGCCATGAGAGCCAAATCGGAATGTGTCTCAAAACTGACCACTGAACTGGACTCCTTAAAGATGGACTGTTCCAGGCTGAGCCAGGACCTGATGGACCAGGCCATGGCTGAGGACAACCTGCAGCTGGAGCTGGACAGAGTCACAGAGGAGTTGGACAGGAGGAGGAGCAGTGAGGAGGGTCTGCGTGAGACTCTGAAGCAGGAGCAGATCAGGACTGCACAGCTCCAGTCTGCTCTGGATGAGGAGAAGGAGGAGGTGGGCTGTCTGAGCCTGGAGAACAGGACCTACATCCGGCTGGCTGACCAGCTCTCCACCCAAATCGTAGAAATGGAGGAGGAGATCTCCACACTCAGAGTCCATCTCAACAGGACCGCAGACCTGGTCCTGGATCTCAGGAGGCAGCTCAACTCCAAACCCAGCAAGGTGGACTGTCTTCAGGGAGAGGTGGCAGACAGTGCTGACCTCTTACAGCAGGCCAAGTCCTCTTCTGAGAAGCCTCCAAGTGAAGTTCAGCAGCTGACTGCTCAGCTGGAAGCCAAGGATGGAGAGCTGGAGCGGCTCAGAGAGCAGGTCCACCAGCTGCAGCAGGTTCTGCAGGACTCTCAGAACCAGCTTAGGACAGTGGAGGAGGACTCTGATCAGGAGAAGAGGAAGATGGCACAGCAGCTGATGGAGCTGGAGAAGCTGGTCCTGGCTCTGGAGGAGGCGATGGATCCGGCCAGTCCACACAGGTTTGTGGAGCATGAGGCCCACTCAGATCTAGAACCTGGTCTGAATGATGACTAACCTCCATCTGCTGCCCTGCTTGAAATGCTGAGAACTTTACTATCACCTGAGTGAAGCGCCACAGGTAGAAACACAATGAAATGCTGATCAGTTTCTGGCCCACAGTGCACTGCTGTAGATCTTCAATCTGATTGGCTGTCTGCTTTAACTCTTCATCTCCTCTCTAACCAAATGACAAACATCTGAATGCCTGACACACTCTTCATCACGTGAATAACATGTTTCTGTGACACCTTCTCCGTCGTCATGTCTTCTTTAGTTTTCTCAGTGTTCGATTTTAAACTAATATTTGTCCAAATTCTACATTGGCCCAGCATGTTGTCAACAAACTGAACTTTCCTTTTTCTATTAGAAAACAGATTTAAGGTCCAAGTCTGCGTCAGATGGGCTCGAAACAGCTGGAACTTCACATTAACATTTAAGATGATATGGCTGAGTGAAGAGTCAGTACAAACTATTCTGAGTTATTTACAGACAAGTAACAGCTAATCAGTAATATTTTTACACTGGATCGGAAACCGGCACCGGTAGTGTGTTTGTTTAGTTCAAGTAGGGCTGCCAGATTCTCTTCTCACTGCTGTCTCCTGATGGGCTGTGTCTTTGTCTTCTTGACACCATGAATCATACAAAAGTGGATCACGGCAAACCGTTTCATGGTGTAGTTCTTGAGGCAGACTGAGCCCTTCAGCTGCCTCAGGTAATCTGTGTTGTATAAAAATCTGCACAGGGTTATGAACATTTATTTTAGTCTTCACTCATTTAGATCAGCAGCTTCTTTAGCTGAATTTCAACCATGAAATTGGGTTTTTCAGTTCCAGATTCATTCCATGTTACTGAGAGTGACTTTGCCCCAAGATCGGTCAGTTGATTGAGGTTGTTGACGTTTGTTTGAGGCACACTCTCTGACGTGTTGTGTCGGCGGCAGGACTCAGCTAGAGGAGGAGCGATCAGAGAATGCAGCTCTGCAGGAGCGACTGAACGTCCTGCAGCAGGAAGTCCAAAATCTGGAGGATGAGGTTGCCAAGAAAAGGTGAGGAAACACTGTGTTGTGATCTCTGGCCCTTCACGCTGGTAAACCGGTGGGGTCCTGTGGCCTGGTGGTTAAGATTCACATCATGTCATGTTTGACTCACATTTTCTGTGTGTGGTTTACAACATTTTTTAAAACAGTAGTCACAAACCAGGATTACTGCTTCAGAAGTAGAACAGGTGGTGGTCTGTGGTGTTGATATAATATTGAAAGTTAAATACTACCTCTTGGTAATGTCCTGAGAAAGTCATGTGACTAAATGTGACTTCTGCTGGTTTTCTTGTTAGGAGGAATCTGGAGGAGATGGAAAGAGAACATGAGAGGAAAAGAGAAGAAGAGGAGAGGCTGCACAGAGAAGTGAGACTCCCTGCTGAAGTGTGACCTCTCACCTCTGTGTGGAAGACGAGCAAAGTTCACAGTTTGTTCAACAACTGCTGCTGCTGCTTCTCTGTGCGTCTGCAGAACTCTAAATATCGGGAGGAGATTCTGGATCTGAGCAGCAGGAACCTGCAACTGAGCAATGACAACGCTGAGCTGAGCGCCCGTCTCCGTGGAGACCAGGAGTCGGTCCGGCTGCTGCGGGAACGCCTGGCGATGGTCTCAAAGGAGCAGGAGGAGGACGGAGCTACGGTGAGAGACTGTGATGAGCAGCTGGATTGTTTTTCTTTTTTGCTTCATTGGCATTTTTCAGAAACTAAATAGAAAACTCGTTTTCATTAAGTTCAGAGGAAATATTCTCTGTGCGCTTTGATGGTTGCAGGTTGAACATTTATTCAACTAAAATCTTCCAGATTTGATCCTTCACCTTTCAGAAAACTATCTAGATGGAACGCATCATAACCTTAAGAAGACATTTTGACAATTATTGGAAGACAGCGACAGCATTTCTACATCTTTGTAAGATTGAAAAGTCATTGATCCTTTAAATGTCACATCTAACATGGATTTTCCTGGAGGATGTGTCAAAGAAAACTTTACTGATGCTCATCGGACCAAAACTTGTCCTTGAATGTCCTTGTTCTATCTGCAGTGTTTGCACACTGTGAGATCCTTTAATTTCTTTGGTGGTTTAAAACACAGCAGTGTGTTAGTAGCAGTCAGCAGCTCAACACTTTGATTGGCTGCTGGTCCCTTCTAGGTGCGGCAGCTACAGGATGCAGTGGTGCAGCAGGAGAGGGACAAGCTACAGCATCAGGCGGCCTGGATGCAGGAGAGACAGCTGCTGGAGAGAGAGCTCAGCTCCTGCAAGGAGAAGGTAGAAGCTCACCTCAGACTAAGTTTTACCACAGTAAATCTCAGATTCCACTTCCCTGGAGCTGTGAGGATTAATGTGACACATTCATCATCTGTTCTGTTTATGACACATGAGGATGGAATACGTCGGCCCACAGTACGTTTCTGTGACAACTTGATCTCAACTCAAAGTCCACTTACTGGGTTTTTAATGAAGGTTTTAGATTCATCTCAATTATTCAATTTTTTATGTCAGTGTTATTTGTATAGCACCAAATCACAACAAAAGTCATCTCAGGACACTTTAGAGAGTCAGGTCTGGACCTTACTGTTATTAATATTATAGAGAAAACCCAACAAATCCCCCTTGAGCTGCACTTGGCCACAGTGGGGAGGAAAAACTCCCTTCAAGGCAGTGGTTCTCAAACTTTTTGTGTCATTCCCCACTTAAGAGGGTGGGCGAATTCTCAAGCCCCACTTGTCAAAAAATTATAACGAAATTGGCCAATTTTTAAATTTCAAATTGATTGAAATATCAAACAACATTAAGTTGAAAACAGTTAAAATATAAGTGCAACTATCGTTTGACGGAGGGATAGTTTTCAGTTTTACAGCAACTGTTTCATCCAGTATAATCGACACCATGTCTACAGTTACAAGGAGAATGAGCTGCTCAGCAACTGACTGGGGTGTGTTGTCTCTATGTCTTCTTAATTGGTTGGGTCTCAAGCTGTCTGCTGCCAGCGGCTTAAGACACAAGACACACATGGGTCCCTCCTCTGCCCCCACCATTCCTACCATGAATCATTCATCATATTTTCTTTTCAGCTGGCTTTTTGGTTGATAAGGCTACTGCCTGTTGTTTCTTTGTCTGCTTGTGCTGAATCGCCTTCTTTTGTGGTCCATGTAACACATATATCCATTTACGTTATTATACCCACTACGTACACTATTGGCCCTCTGTGTGAACGTTTCCTTATGTTGCGTGGCAGTTAACATGCTGACGTTAAACAGTTATTGTTGCACTATGGTTCCACTTTTTTCTCCCGGGCCCCGAACTGATGTTATTTTAATTTACTTGTATTAATGACCCATTTCTAATTTTCTCCGTTCATTGCACACCCCACCTGTCATGTCCTTATTCCCCCATAATGGGGCGCGCCCCACACTTTGAGAACCACGGCTTTATGGGAAGAAACCTCCGACAGTACCTGGGATCTGGTAACCTGTTTCTGTTCACTGATGGTGTTTGCTATGACTCACATATACTGTTCCCAAAGTCACTAATGAACTCCAAGTGTGTCTGTAAATATGTTAATATTTTTATAATTTCTCAGCTGGGGCGTCTGTCGGAGCTGGAGGCGGAGCTAAGCAGTGTGACTCTGAAGCAGCAGTGGTTGGAGGAGGACAAGGCTAAACTGCTGAGAGAGGCCGACGACCGAAACAACAAGGTCACACCTTGCAGTGGAAAAACAGCACAAAGGATAAAACAAAGTGTATCACCAATAAAACAAAGTGTATCACCAAACCACAAGATAATAAAATAAATTAAAAAAACATGCTCGGGCAAGAACAGTTGTCTTACTGCTGAATGTTCCCTTTAGGTGGAGAAGCTGCAGCAGACTGTTCTCTCTCTGGAGTCGGAGGCGGAGCTGCTTCACTCTCAGCTCCACGCCGTCAGTCAGGAGCAACTCGGCCACGCCCAGGATGTGACAGATCTTCAGAGGAAGCTGCAGGCTGCTCACCACAAGGTCTGTACGGAGAAAAAGTTCCCAAGAAAGACCATCAGATACAGAATCATTGACATGATTTCTGTTCACACAAAATGTTTAATATTTTACCTCAGCATGTTTCTAAAAATGTTAGACATTTCTGTGATAAACAGGTCAAATCAGGGGACAAAAGGAAGTCAACACAAAAAACACAGTTGGTATTGTTTTTGATCACCTGTCTCCAGGTGGAGGAGCTAGAGGCCAGCGTGAGGAAGCTGATGAAAGAGAAAGAGGAGTTCCGTCAGGCTCTGGAGGAGCAGGAGGAGCAGGCCTCCATCGCTCTACAGAAAGAGACCCACAAACTGAGAGTCCAGAACCAGGAGCTCCAGCACAAGGTACCAGACACAGAGCACAAGGTTAATTCAGACTGTGGCAATTCTTCTGAGTCTCACCTGTACATGTGTTGTCAGCTGGCGGAGCTGCAGGTCCAGGGTCTGGAGGTCCAGAAACTGACCCAGGAGCAGCAGAACCTGAAGACCAAGCTGAGTGTGCTGGAGGTGGCTCGGACGGAGGCTCAGGACCAGGTCAGGACTACAAACCAAACATTATCCCCCCCATCATCAATGTAGCTCTCGGCTCAGACTCCTGGTTTTCTTCCTGCAGGCTGTGCGGGCGGACGCGGCGCTCAGTCTGGTGCAGGCGCAGCACGTGCGGCAACTGCAGCAGGTGCAGGAGCGAACGGATGGTGGCTGCAGGGAGCAGGTGGAGCTGCTGCAGGCCCGGCTGGTGGAGGAGCAGAGGAGAAGTCAGCAGCTGGAGGAGACGCTGAGGCTTCAGGCCCAGCAGAGCGGCTCCCAGATCAACCTGAAGCAGGTAACACAGGTCAACGCTAACAGCATTTTACTACGCTAGATTTTAGTAAAATAACACCTGAGACAAAGTTACCCCCCAAGCTGTGCTGGGTTAGGTGCCTGGTACTTATTACTGCTCAGTCAAATAATATAATATAATATTCTGAGTTACTTTAGCATTACTTTCACAAAGTATCCCCATAAACTAAGAGTAACAAATGTCACCCACACACCTCTGAGAGATTTCTCATGCTTTGTAAGAACGTAATCAATTAGAAACCCAGTCACCTGCTCCTAGTTAGCTAACACCTCACCAGGCCACACACTGTTTGTCCTGACCACAGCAGCTCCAGCTGCTTCACACCCTCCTGTTGCATGGGGATGTTAGCAACTTGGACATGAAGTGGACCTTCTCGATCATTTTTGTTCTTTTCAGCAACAAGCCGGAAATACTGACGATATTTCCTGTTTAAAAATGTGGGTCATTTTATAAAAAGGTGCTAATGCTAAGCAAAACAAACAGGAAGTGTGTGGGACCATTGAAAAACATATTTGAGGAGACTCGGTTTGTCCAGAACATTTGTTACTAAGACATTTAAAAAAAATCACAAGTAGTGCAGTAAAAGTATTTTCCTCTGAACTTTAGTGGAGTAGCAGCATGTGTAAAGTAGCTTGGAATAGAGATACTCAGGTGGAGTATAAATACGACTGTGTTGTGTTCAGGAGCAGTACGAGAAGGCACTAGCCACCCTGCAGCAGAGGATTGAGGATCTGGAGACCAAACTGAAAGGAGTCCGGACGGTTCTGCAGGAGAAAGTCCAGCAGCTCAAAGAACAGGTCACTCACCAACCAGGTTCTCAGAGCCTTAACTGGTTTCTCCCACTTTGATGTGGGAAAGATCTGTTATGCCGTCATTCCACTGCCACCAAGATTTTGTGTGTTTTCGTTGTCTGTGAAACGGACGGTGCCTGGATTGAAGCCCGGCTGAAAAGCGTGAGAGCTGGTCCCAGAGCTCCGCCCCCAAAGCGGCCATTTAGGTCACTGCATTCCGATTGGCAGACAGAAAACTTGATCAGTGAGGAGACAGAAAAGAAAAACGCAGTCAGTGCAACAACTCTGTTTATCGAATCCATGTTTGCTCTGTTGTTGATGTCCATTCTGGTCATGACGTGCTCTGTAAGAGCAGCCCTCACTCACTCTGTACTGAGTACGGGACGATTCCTGGTAAATGGTCTGGTTACAGTGCTTTTCTATGCAGTGCAGCACACACAAAGTGCTTTCACACTATTTTCACATTCACCCATTGACACACTGGTGCCGACCCACTCTTCCTCCTGACCACAGCTACCCCAAGACCAGTGGCAGTGGAATGACCGCACTAGTTTCTGTGAAGGGAGTAGTACTGCTCAGGCATAGAGACTCCAGGTTTCTTTCACTCAGCTTGAAACAGTTTGGGGAAAGCTGTTTCAACACGACCATGCCCCGGTGAACAGAGACCCGTGTACATGACTAAACCTACAACGTTATGAAAATATGAACATAAGCAAGAATGTCAGTTATATTATTTAAAATCTCCAACACAAAAGTGTGCACAGCGTGAAGGGGTCTGAATGCTTTGTGAAATGCCTGAGTAATGTTGTCCACATACTTTTGGTCATGTTCTCACTGTAGTTGTTGCTGTCTGCAGCTGGCGAAGAACAGCAAGTCAAACATATTGATGAAGGATCTGTACATGGAGAACTCTCAGCTGATAAAAGCTCTGCAGGTCACTGAGCAGCGGCAGAAAAATGCAGAGAAGAAGAACTTCCTGCTGGAGGAGAAGGTCAACGCACTCAACAAACTGCTGAGAGAGATCGTCGCCACGTAGCTGCTGAAGGAAACCTGCAAACATCGCAGACGTGTGACGTAGCACCCTCAGCGTCTGAGATCAGTCTCACTAAAGCAGCTTCAACATGAAACATTTAGTGTCCAGGTTAGCCTAGCTTAGCACAAAGGCTGGAAGAGGAGGAAACTGTTAAGCTCCACCCAAAAAGAAAACTTTCCAACATCTTAGAAGCAAAAAAAGTCAGAACACTATTAAATAACAAATCTCACAGCCAGCAGACGTTGTGCAAACTTTAATGGTCATGCGGGTCTTTGTCAATTATTAAAAAGTTTTGAAGAAATTAAAGCATAAAGGCTTCGGATGGAAAAGTTAGATTTGAGTATTTCTAGTAATTTATGGGGAAAAAAGTCGAATTAATTTAAGAATTAATTTATTGAATAATAAATTAGGAGATTTTCCTTTTAATCCTCCATCATGAGAAACCAGTAGGTGCGATTTGAGCCACATAACAGATCAACAGCTGTTCAGAAACTGACTGAACATTTATAACTCGGAGTGAAAGGAGCGTTTCCTGTGGCGGACAGTTGAAACACGAGGTCATATACTCAAAGTATCAAGACGTCTAAAGCTGGGGTTTCCTTTTTGAAATGTGACAACTCGTCTGTGAAACATTTTCTTAGAACATTGAGACTGGAGATGACTTTTTTCCTCATTAAAATGGTGTTTACCATGACAGATTTAAAACAAAAAGTATTCTTGAAACTTATCATAGTGGGTTTTCTCAAAATCAACTTTATTCTTGTACCTGTTTTTCCACAAACTCTTTTCCCCCCAGTAGCTTCAGGACTGTTGTTGTGTATATTCACAGTAAAATGAGAGCAGAGGATAAATAACCAGGTCTCAACCAGGTGAGATGCTGATGTCCAGTTTGACCCACAGGTCAAAGAGCTTTTAGGTGAGTCGTTCTCACTTTAACGGTGTCTCATCACCAGGTAAATGCCTCAGCTCTTCATGAAGCTGCTTTAGAGAAACTGAACCTTTGTAGAACCAGGAAGGAAAACCAGTCTGACCACACACAGTGCTGCATGTTAAACTGGTCGGCAATCTGAAGTATTTCAGCCACAAGGGTATTATGTTTATTTTATGTATTTTTAATGTCAAAGAAAGACTTTCATTTGTGAAGGTCAAGTCAGGGGTCAGCTGCTGTTCTGATTTCATTCTGTAGTTTTCCCTCAGAGTGAAACCTCTCGCTGCTCCACACAGCTCTGTTATGTCTCTTCCTGTTCAGGTAGAAAGGGGAACTCACCTGTGTGTTGACGGATGTCACCATGTTGTCCTGACACTGATGTATACTGTAACATGAAATCCACATTAAATTGTTTTTATCACATTGCACTGTGTTGTCATATAAAACCGATTTTAAACCTTTTTGTCATAAAGCCTCCCAAAGTCCAAACACCAGAAGATAAACAGTATTTAGATCAGGGATGCTTTGAAACGATTGGTTCTGTCTTGCAGGTGAAATTCAGCTGGTGACTGATGGTCTAACAACCTGAATCCAGACCTGTGTCGCAGTGTTGAGTCAGACGTAAAGGAGTCATTATTTATTTTGTACTTACTTGGATCCTATTGGCCGTTGTCTTCTGGGTGCCAGAGGAGGGTTAGGGCAGCTAGAAAGTAGCTACAACAGGTCTGTGATTATTTGAAGGATGCAGCCAGTGATTTTGTGGGTTTGTGTTTATTGCACAAACCCCATCCCGAGACTAACAGCGATAGTGAGTGTGGTGTACTCACAGTAATGTAAAAACCCAGTTTAGTTTATCGGTCTGTGCTGTAGCCCTCCGCTGCTGTCCAAACACTAGGCCCCTGACCTCTCAGGCTCCTGGACCTGGTAACCCACCCATCTGTGTGTCGGACCTGATCCAGGTGTCCTCAGAGATGCTGAGCTGGGCGCCTCCAGCAGAACCTAGAGGGATGTGGCTGCAGTCTGCTGGAGGCTCCTGGAAGCGACATCCTACCAGGTCAGATTCTTCATATGCAGTACGTCAGTCGGTTTTGTCATTCTGAAAATCTGCTGTGCTGTTTTATTCTGTACATACAACATCTCAGTCCTGGAAGAGGGATCCCTCCTCTGTTGCTCTTCCTGAGGTTTTCCCTGATCTACCTCGAGGCTCTAAGGACAGAGTGTGTCGTATGTTGTACATACTGTAAAGCTCCTTTAGGCAAAATTGTTATATTGGCGTGTAGAACGAAAATGTGACATTTGGAATATGTTGGCAAAGATATGAGCAGTTCCACTCCTGAGTCCTGCAGGTCGTCGTTGCTCAGGTCCAGGTGTCTGACTAGAAGACTGGAGGCTGAGAACTGAATACAGAGCTTCACAGCTTCTCTTTGACAGGCTACAGCCGTTCAACCTGGAGAGACAGCAGTGTGCAAACTAGTTATGTTTTTCCTTTCTCCCATTTAAATGTAGCATCAGATATAATGATGAAGAAATCCACTGTTCTATGTGCACGTACAGAGCTCTGCTGGAGGCTCTGACCACAGGCTGCAGCCTCAGAAGAGTATTTCTTCACAGTAAGATGAAGCCCAGAGCCGACCACTGAGAAGGACAGTTCGTCTGTGGAGAGACGTCCTGATCTCAGGGCCTGTTTCACTAGAGAGCAATCATTCAGTTCATTCAGACAGTGGAACAGGTTTTTCTTCCTTCTTGAAATAGGACTTCATTGTTTAAAAACCATGAAGTATGTACTGTGAAACTCCATGTTTTAGAAATGAATCAAGCAGGTGGATTTCTGATGTGATGTCAGTCCAGTCGTATTTAAACAGGTAAAACACTGAGCGTCATCATTAAGTCTTTATTTGTCCATTTGCTTCCATTAACAAACTGAAAAACATTTTGAAAAGAACTTTTTTACATCAGAGTATAATCAGACTGTTCATGAAAACTTGAGTATTTTAAATCTCTGTTGGTAAGATCAGGTTTCCAACAGAGCCTGGCTGCAGACAAGATGGCGGACTTGACCTTGAGAGGAAGTAGTCCATATTAGCTAGAACTGCTTCTCTTCAGCAGGTTTCAGTTTAGGGTTAATGTTAACCAACTGTATCCCAGCTCCCAGAAAAAACTGGCAACTTCCTGCTGACACACATCTTGGTCACAGTTTGCCATCTTTTCTGCAGCCTGGTCCCTCGTGTGTCTTCTCGTTGTTGTGAGCTCATGAAAATCTCTGCATCCTCTTCTCGTCTTCCTGCATCAAGACACGACGTGCTCCAAAACACCCTGACGAATCAGTTGTTCACACTTCCACCGTGGCAGGAAGTGCTGAGGACAGAGAGATGGATATTAACAAGAGCACTTCCTGTGTCCACACCTGCAGACAGAGCCCCTGTGATGTGTTCACTTAGACACATTAGGGCCATCGTTGAGGAGCTTCCTGACAACTGTGACAGACACCTGTTGTCTCAGCAGGCAAGCAAAAAGATTTAGACCCTTGTAAATGAAACCTTCTTCAGACCCTTTTAAGACTGAAAAGCTGCAGTCCTCTGCATGTGATCAAGTGCCCTCATGATTCATAGCTTTACCCATTCCTGGGTTGTCCTGTCTGAGGACATTGTGGACGTGTGGAAAGCTGCATCGCAACTTTGTATCAA